CAGCTTCTCTGGCTGCCACTCACTAGGTATCAGTAGCAGTTGTCCTAATTGCAATAGCAAAACTGTCTCCACACTCTGCCCAATGTCCCCAAGGAGTACAATTGCTCCTGGTCAGGACCCTTGATATAAACTGAGAAGAGACAGACAGGCAGGAGCAGAGGGGTGGCACTCCAGGAATGAGGATGGTTGTGAGCGAGTGCGTGGTAGTGACAGCGTGGGGATCACTGGATGTGACATCCAAATCCAGGCTCCTTCCTGAGTGTCCCGAGCTCAGGTGAGCACCAAGTGTCAGCTGCTCCCACTCGGCCTAAGGGCGAGATGAGAGAAGCCTCTGCAGTGTCTGATGTGCACCGGGGGCTGGGCAGCGTGAGTGTTCAGGAGGAGCATCACCTCTTGCCTCTCCAAGTGCATCCTGGGACCGGGAAGCTGACCATGAGTGCAGTGCACAGACCACGTGGCTCTCACCCCACCGTGGCACTGCTTTTTCCCAGGGGGCTTTTAGTGCCGTTGGTCTCAGCATTTTGAAAAAATCCCTGTTTGGCTTGTTACACTGCTCAGTTACTTTATGTAGACGTCTTTTTCATCACCGCCCAGCGGGAGAGATTTCCCTCTGGCTTCAGACCCAAGAAAAAAAACCATGCTTTTCATTGTGTATTTCAAAATACCTCAAGAGGAGACTCAGAATTCTCCTGACACAAAGAAATGAGAAATAGCGGCTGAGGTGGTGAGAATGCTAATTGCCCTTATTTGATCATTGTGCATTGAGTGCACGTGCGTGTGTGTGTGAAAACGTCACAGTGTCCCCTACACTGTGTCAATTTAAAAAAGCGATGCTTTTCCTAAAAGGTTGGTCTTTTCCACATCTACCCTGAGTCACAGAACTGCTGGTTTCTCTACTTGCTCTGGATGCTGGGATGGCTGGAGACATTTATGTCACGTCAGGCAAGCATATGAGATCTTTGGCCATAAATTAGGTATTTTTGCCTATTTCAGTTTCCTTGGATTTCCTTTTTATCCTTTGACCCAATCTTTGACTTGCTTATTTTTCGTTTTGTTGTGTTCTGAATTTTGTAAGTCACTTGAATCCTTTTCTGGAGAGAAGTAAGAAATTAAGAATTTAAAAAAAAAAAGCATTGCTTTCTTCACACTAGCATATGATAACAGCCCGGCTAGGACCCACAGTGGCTTCACCATGCACAGCTGCCATGCTCCCACAGCACAGCCTCCTTCCCCAGGCTTCTCTGCAGGTGAGAGTCACACGATGGGCACAGCTTTCTCCTCTGCCACCCCCATCATTTCCACAACAATGTGCGGAGAACATAATTACAATTCTTGCTCAAGGAGCAGGAGGGACAATGACACAAACCCCAGAGAGATCAGTGAGAGGTCACTTTGTTCTCCAGGTAGATCGTTGAGTCTCCATGGGGTTGGAAGATCTGTAGCAAGAAAGACAGAATTAGGATTATTCCTAAATCATTACTCTTTTGCATTTTGGCTTTCTGCATTGGAATTCATCCCAGTCTGCAAGCCTCCCCCGAGCACTCTCCAGAGTGCTGGAGAGATGCAGAAGGAGCTTGGTCCCCTGTGAAGACACGCTGTGAAGTGGGGTGCTGAGCACAGTGGTTGTTGGTGTGATGTGCAGGCCTGTCACCTGTGGAACACAAGCCGCGCATCTCTGGAAGGCTTATCTGGTGCCTGTGGTTTCTTTGGGGGCAGCAAATTCATGAAAAGGTGTCCCAGGTGACTTCCAGTTTTGCTAGGATATGACTGCGTCACCAAGGTTCCTGTGATGGAAACTCAGTCCCCAAAGTCATGTGTTGATGGTATTTTGAGGTGGGGCCACTGGGAGCTAGTTAGGGTTAGCTGAAGCCATGGGGGACCATGGTGCCATCAGTGAGTTTATAACACAACGCAGAGTGGCGGGAGCTCACCATGCTGTGATGCAGCAAGGAGGCCCTCAGCAGAGGCGGGGCAGTGGGCTGACCCTCAGCAGATGCTGGGAAGTGGGCAACCCCTCACTCTGGGACCTCTCAGCCTCCAAAACTACAAGCTAGACAGATGTCTATTCAGAGCCTCCATGTCCCCGTCACTTCTTAAAGTCCCATCCAGTCCCATCTCTTAAAGCCTCATGTTGGGGATTAGATTTCAACATCAGTCATGGTGAGGCTTTCAGAGCAGAGGTGTTGGCCCAAGAGCTCTGGCTTGGGCCTCAGTTGCCTTGTCAGCCCTTCCTGGTCTCGCCAACCTCTCACTGCTACAGATGCTCCTGGCTGAGTCCTGCCCCAGAGCCTTGGCACTTGCTGGTCCTCTGCCTAGACGTTGCTCCCCACATGGACCCCACTGCTTCCCTCCCTTCCCACTGCTGGCTCCCTTCCAGAACCTCACGACTCCATTTCTTCATAGCCCACGTCACTTCCTGACCACCTGTTACCTCCATGAGAATCCAAATTCCATAAAAGAAGGGTCCAGCCTGTCATGCTGGCTCCCACCCCCCTAGATCTTGCACAGTGCCTGGCACATGGAAGAGGAATTCAGGAAGTGTTTGTTGAATGAATGAATGAATGAATGAATGATGTTGGCCCAGTGACAGAAAAACAAATCCTAGAAAGTAGAATATACTTTTCTGTGTGTTGTAATAATATTTTTGATATAAAATTTAAAATGATGTAAAATAAGTTTTCTGCTCAAACATAGATTTTCTCACAGCAACTTCTAATTGCAGTAGAAAGTAGACAGCAGACTCAGTGACAGGCAATATTGGGGCACCTGAGTCTCCCATCCCCCTGGACACTCCAGTGCCTTTGTTTGGAAGGAACACAGCCCATTCTGCAGCTGGGCAGCGGCTGCCTCAGCCCCTTCCCCTCCTCTCACAGCACGTGGAAAGCTGTTGCTTCTTCCTCACTCTTTCTTGGGGAGGGAGGGCCAGGCCTGTACCTTCTCTTTCTCTTGTCTGTCAGTGACAATATGGTGACTCCCAACGATGGCTCCCCACTGTTCACTCGGTGTGTGAGCAATGGGCTGAGAACCGGCCTGTCAGCCTTGTTCGTGTTGTCCCCTGCCTGTGTCACAGCCCTGTCCCAGGGCACCCATGCCACCTGCACCCCAGAAAGATGCCCAGCCCTGCACAGTCACACGAGGACGAGGTCTGCACACCGCTGCTTGTCACAAGGCAGGGGCTCTGTCACACCTGAGACGTGATTAGAAGGCACTGAAAGCCACAGGGGACTGTCACGGCCCCCCATCCCTGGAATATGGGGCCTGGGGCTGCGTGGCACTGAAGGTTCTAGAATGCCCCACCTGTAAGCGTGTGGCTTCTCAGTCCTCTGTGACCAGATCACACATCTGGCCCCTCCGCAGGGCTGCTCGCTCAGGTGGCTGAGACACCATGCATGTGCCATGACGGTGCAGTCCTAGGAGCTCTGGGCTCTTGTCCCCACCCTGGCTCTGACTCCCCCAGTCCTTGCTTCCCTTTGGGCCTCGGCTTCCTCTTCTGTTGAGTGAAGGGATGGCCTGCCTGACTCTGGCCTGCCATCCCAAGAACTCAGACACAGGCCGAAGAACCTCTGGTAATAGTTGGTAACTCTGGGACTGCGTCACGTGGCTCTGTTGTTACATCCGGGAACCTGGAAGGAACCTGGCAGCATTTTGTGATGTCTTGACTGCACTTGCTTAACGACATCTCAGAGGGTGCATGCTGGCTCTTCTGTCCTTAGGAAGACTCAATGCATTTTAAAAAGTGAATTCTATACTGTATCAGTTTTCTGTTGCTTCAGAAATAAAACAAAATGAAATGCCACCCTAAAACTTAGAGCGTCAAAAACACCAAAATATTTTAATCCCCTCTTTTCTGGACTGACGGGACTCAGCAGGACAGCTCTGCTCCGTGTGGTGTCAGCTGGCTATAGGACATCCTTGTGTTCCTGGTGGCTCACGTGTGGCTGTCCAAGGGAGCTCAGCTAAGGCAATCAGTGGCAGCATTTTGGTTTTCCTCTTCATGTCCTCTCCCTGTGGCTTGGGATCTGCCAGTTCCCTTAATGCCTGGACCTGGGTATCTCTGTGCCTCACAGCAGGAAGGGCTCTGGAGCTGGCTCTGTTGGGGAGCAACTGTGTGTACAGGGAAGGCAGGAATTGTTGGGTATATGCTCTCTTGGCCCTGTTGCTTTAGTCCGGTGATAGGACAGTACATTGTGACAGAAGCACATGGCAGAGGAGGCCTGGACACCTTCTGGCTTAGCAGCTGGGAAAAAAAAAGAGGCAGGAGGAGGTCAGGATCCCAATATCTCTTTAAGACCTTGTCCTTTGGCCAGGCACAGTGGCTCATGCCTGTAATTCCAGTTACTTGTGAGGTGGAGATCAGAGGATGGCATTTCAAGGCCAGCCCAAGCAAAGAAGCAAGACCCTGTCTGGAAAATAAGCTAAAACCAGAATGGCTGGAGACATGGCTCCTGTGGTAGAGTACCTGCTTGGAGAGTTCAAGGCCCTGAGTTCAGACTTCAGCACCACCAAAAAACCCCAACAACTTAACTTCCTCCCACTAGGCCCCGCCTCTTAAAGGCTTCACCCTGCAGCTGCACCACAGCCTGGGGAAAGCCTGCATCACACGGGCCTTTGGGCCAAAGTATAGCAACGTGGAGTGAAAGTATCGTCTAAGGACAGCCGAAGTGACCCGTTGGGGTCAAAGCCAGTGTTACTTTGATGTCCTCTGCAGATGAAAGCACACCTCACTGCCCAACCTGTATCTGTCTGTCTGTCTGGGAACTGGCGCTGGGTGCTTCTGCTGGCCTTTGCTATGGAAGCAATGGGGAGACCCCGGCAGAGCAGTGTGCAGGTGGCGTGGGACTGGAAGGCCTCTGCCAGTCCCTTCCCCTCCCACAGTACCAGGATTTAGACAACAGCAGCATCCCCTCTGGGCCTCAGTTTGCCCTCCTGTGAAATGAGGGCGTAGGTCTTCCATTCATGGGAGGCACCCCCACCCTAACCTCTGTCCCATGTGCTCCTAGGTACTCCTTCCAGGACGAAGAGGACATGTTCATGGTGGTGGACCTGCTGCTGGGGGGAGACCTGCGCTACCACCTGCAGCAGAATGTGCACTTCACAGAGGGGGCCGTGAAGCTGTACATCTGTGAGCTGGCCCTGGCACTGGAGTACCTGCAGCGGTACCACATCATCCACAGGTAACAGCTGCTGGCAGGACGTGGGAATGGTGGCCCAGGGGGCGGGAAGGGCAGTCTGCAGCCGTGGGAAGAATGTTCTCGGTCCCTCGCGTTGTTTCAAAGTGGCAGTGCTTGAAGACAACACAGGCAGAACAGCATCAGTGTCTCTTCGACGTCCTCTGCAGATGAAAGCACACCTCACTGCCCAAGCCGAGTGCACCTACCCAGTGCTGCAGGTGCAGGGCTGGCAGTGGCCTTGGCTTCCCTGCTCCAGGCTGTGTAGGAAGGAGGACGTTCTGCCCCTCCTGTTCAGGTCAGCAGGGTCCCAGCAGCATTGTCGCACTGAGGAGTTGGAAGTGTGAGGGACTCCATTGTCTTCCTTCCCATCCTTTGGGCTCAGGGTGGGACACTGGAGGTGTCGGAGTCCCCCCTGGGGATCCTCCTGGCTGGTTCCAGGCTTTGGAGAAAAACCTCAGAGCTTTTGCTGTGTCCCGGGGGATCTGGTGTCTTTTCCCTATGCCCAGCAACACCGTGGCTATCACAAGTGGGCAAAGTGACTCTGTGTGCAGAAGCTGATATGTAGCTTTGAAAGGCGTGGAAAAGGCAAAAACTTGTCTGCTAGGTAGTGAAGGTAGATTAAGTGTGCGTGTGTACGTGTGGGTGCGTGCACACCCGAATTTTCTCCCTTCTAAAATCCCAGTGAAATGACAGGAAGGAATGTTTGAAAAACATATTCATAAGGACAGAAAAAAGCAAACAGAGACTATCACACTGCCTCATGGGTGTTGGACAGAAGGTGTGGAGAGATAGATCACTTAGCAGACCAAAAACTGAATTTTAGGCTGTCACTAAAGGGGAATCAAGACTAATACACTAAAGAAGCCCCCAGAGACTTGGGGTTGTCACCAATTTCTACAGAAGGGAGGGGGAGGTGAAAAAGAGGCTAAAGGAAGGTAAATCGGCTGAGGACTTCTCCATGCTGAAGAGACAGGTATCTTCCCCAACTTGACGTCTTGACATGGCACAATGGCTGCTCCTTCCCCACTAGGCAGGGGACAAGGTCAGTCCCCCAAAGAAAGCAACATGGAGAGTGTGAAGGACGTCACCTGTGGCCTGGTGAGGCACAGCAGTAAAAGCAGGAAGATGATCGAAACACAGACCCACTGAATGCTGAAGCAGCTCCTCCCCACCCCTCCTGGGGTCAGAGAATCTGCCTCTGTGTCTTCGTCCCCTGGCCAGGAAACTGAAGTGACTTCAGTGGGAATGTGACTGAGCCAAAGGAAAGAGACAGTGATGTCAGAGATTGCCAGTGACACCTTAGTGTCTAGCTCATAGTCCACGGCCACACTAGCCCATCACCAACCCCAGCTGGATCAGTAATGACTAAGGATTGTCAGATATCCAGGGAAACTTTTTAACGTGAACATCAAAATCCCTACGATCAAATGGTGAGAAAGCTAAGAATAAGCAGGGAGTCTGGGAACGTCAAAATAACCATGAACTGCATTTTCACAGGGATAAGGGAAGAATTGTGCAAGTGTAAACAAGAAAGGGCATTTGTTTATTTAAAGACCAAACCTCAGAGCTCCCACAAATGAAGAGCATGAAAACATTAGCTATGCTGGAAGACAAGATCCCTGTACTCTCCAGAAAATAGAGTAAAAAGATGAAGGGGTAGTCAGAGGCTCCGTCCAGACATGTCAACATGAGAAACAGAGAAGAGAGGGGACATGAAGGAAGGAGTCATTAATGAAATAAAGACAGTCCCCCGGACCTGAAATAGAGGAGTTTCCAGGCTGTATGAAACTCTTCAAAGCTCAGGACCACGTAGAAAACAGATACACTCCAAAATAAATTTCAGATCTGATAAGCCTCCAGAGAAGAGTGATTGCCCATAAAGGCTGAAGGGTTTCTTCAAACACTAGAAAGTGGGGCAGATGTGCTAATCGAGTAACAGGGAATATACTGCCACAAGTTCCAGATCCCTTGCACATGTCTCTTGCACACACCATCTCTCAAGTGCTAGACCACGAGTGGATCCTTCAATGTAGAAGGAAGAAAAGGAAGCCAGCGAAGAAGAGAGGCAAGGGAAGTCTTTGGGTGGATGAGGAGGGGCTCATGGTGGATAGACCATGACCAGTTCTGGTTGGAGAGGCTCAGAAGACTCCCAGAAAGACTCCTTCAGAAAGAGTGAACTGACAAGATTGGATTACTAATGCATCTGGCAGTTTAGAGAAGGGATTTGTTGAATTACAGATGCTTCTGGCTGCCTCAAGAAGGGATTTGGCTTGTTTAAAGAATCTGAAGTTGAATTAGTGAGAAATTAATTTTTAAAACTCAATAATAAAAAAAGCAAGACAAGCCAGGCATGGTGGCTCATACCTGTAATCCTAGCTACTTGAGAGGTGGCTATCAGAAGGATAGTTGTTTGAGGCCAGCCTGGGCAAAAAGTTTGCAAGACCCTCATCGCAACCAACAAAAAGCTGGGCATAGTGGTTCACACCTGTCATCCCAGCTATGCAGGAAGCATAAATAGGAGGCTAGGGGTTCAGACAAACCTGGGCATAAACACAAGATCTTATTCAAAAAGGAACTGAATCAAAAAGGGTGGAGAGCATTGCTGGAGTGGTGAAGCACCTGCCTGGCAAGCACTAGGCCCTGAGTTCCAGTCCCATGACACCCCCACACACGACAAAAGCAAGACAATTACTGAATCTAGGGAACAAAATGTTGTACGAGACATTGAACATGCATAGCACAACATGGGCCGTCTCCGGATACAGTACAGTGTCATCACTACCTGAAAATTAATGTAACAAAAATGACGCTCCATTGAGAAAAGAGGATGAGTGAGTGTGTCTCTGGGGACAAGGGTGAAGAAGCCACTTAAATTCTCACTTTCCACAACAGAGATAGCCAGCAGAGAAAACCTGAAATGAAAAAGTGGCAAAGTCTATAGTGGAGAGACAGGAGTTCAGTGGCAGAATCAGAACCTGAATGGGGTGCATGGATGGAGAAGGATGAATGGGGAGAAAGCAGTAAGGCTTGTGGCCATGTTATAACAAAGCTTACAGAACTATTTGGCCCTCTGAATATTTGCAGGTGTGACTTTGAGTCAATGACAGTGACAAGCACAGCAGAATGGAGGAGGGGGAGACGACAGTAGCAGTGGCAGCAGAGCAGGGCGTGTTCAGTGTAACACAGAGAATAACTGAGGGCTCACAGTTTGCTCACTAGCTCTTCTAGCATTGGGACACAGGTGCTCTGCTTGTGGGCACCATGCTTGTGGCACCATGCTGTTTGGTCAAGAAGGCTGCCAGGGTGCAGTGTGCATCTGTTGGCTGGCTAGGCTGCTCTGAAGGTACCAGAAGGAAAGAGCTCTTTTCCCATCAGGCATACTGGTACTGCTCAGGCATCATCAAAGCTGTGCCTGCCCTGTGTGCAATAAACGATCCATCTTCCCCAGTTGCAGCAGACACGAGTCATGATCAATTGTGAGTCAGATGCCAACTTCCCAGAGCAGGGCTAGGAATGGCCAGGCAGAAAATGGAATTGTCACATTAGGAACCCAGCTGGCTGGACCCGTCTCACTAGATTTCAACAAATGTTTTAAAGCTACTCTCAAAGACATTTCTTCAGTGGGGGTCATCTGTCCTTCCATTTTAAGCCCACCAGGGAGAATAGAAGCTATCCAGTAGCTTCAGGAGTTTTGTTTTTAACTCACTAAGAAACGTGTGGTTGTTATGTTTATGAGCCCATGTGACAGAGCCATGGGCTGGCCTGAGGGCTGAACAGACCACTTCTGGGCATGTCGATCAGACCTTGGGCAGGTAGACAGAGAAAAGCAGACATCCCTCCCCGGTGTGGACAGGCATGAGCAATCCGTTAGGGCCTGCACAGAACAAAAAAGTGACAGGAGGGTGAATCTACTCTCTGCACTTCCGCAGAGACAGACATCTTCTCCAGCCCTTGAGATGTTGCTCTTTAAGCCTCACACTGCCATGGATACTATCAGTGCCCCAGTTCTCAGGTCTCTGGACTTTCAGGGAATCACCCTGCTAGCTGTCCTGGGATCATCTTGCAGAGGGCACAAGGTGGGCCTTCCCAGCCTGCCTACGAACATGAGGCAAGTCCTGTCACCAACCTCTCCTGCATGCCTCTGGGTCTCATTGGTTCTGTTTCTCCGGAAAACTCAGAACTGCCATTGAATCCCCTTTGCAATTCCAGGATTACAGGTGCTGACAATGACTTCTCATCTTCTCCCCCACCCTTGTGGTTCCTAAATCCCATTTTTATGTGCGCGTTTGTAAAATTTGAAACTCTGTGTGTCTGTACACAATCCAAAGGAATTGCGCTGATCCTGTGCAGTGTTTTCACTATTTCAACAGTTGAATTCACACCCCTGCCCCTACTGCACCAGGCACTTGAAATGCTGTATCCTACACCTACAGAGGAATGGTGTTTGTTTCGTGGTGAATGCACACAGAAGGAAGAGTCACTGGGCAAATGCATGTCTGGGTTGGATTTCCAAGGATTTTTATCTTCCTTCTTGGTGGACTTGGACAAGTTACTCAACTCCATCTATTTATAAGGTTTAGAGTTCAGTTTCCTAATCTGTGAAATGACCTAGTGACACCTACTTCACTGGGCTGTTACACAAATACTGAGAAAATGTTTGCAAAGGACTTAATTGTGCCCGGCTGCCATGTTTCTCTTTCCCCTGGGGAACTTGACTTTGAAACCAGGAGGTGTCACTCTGTAATGATGGATCGCCAGCCTTTGCAGGTAGTGTTACAGATGTTTAGAAAAGGTACTTCAGGACACAGCCTGGTGAGTTGGATGGTGTACAAGCCAGGAAACCCCACTGTGGATTCAAAACCATCCACTCTGCTTTTCCAGTCACCCCTTCACTGTTTCAACTGCCATCTGGGCCAGGCAGCGTGGGAGGCGTGGAGAGAGCTGCTGGGAGACTCTGTCCTGTGTCTGAGCAGCTTCCCAGGAGCAAAAGGCCCCATCCTCAG